AGGCTTTTGCATAGTCAATGAAGCAGAAGTAGATGTTTTTCTCGAACTCTCTGGCTTTCTCCATAATCCAGCGCATGTTAGCAATTTGGTCTCTAGTTCCTCTGCCCCTTCGAAATCCAGCTTGTACTTCTGGGAGTTCTCGGTCCACATTCTGCTGAAGCCTACCTTGGAGGATTTTGAGCATATCCTTGCTAGCGTGTGAAATGAGTGCAATTGTACGGTAGTTGGAGCATTCTTTGGCACTGGCCTTCTTTGGTATTGGGATGTAGACTGATCTTTTCCAGTCCTCTGGCCACTGTTGAGTTTTCCAAACTTGCTGGCATATTGAGTGTAACACCTTAACAGCGTCATTTTTTAAGATTTTAAATAGTTCAACTGGAATGCCATTACCTCCACTGGCCTTGTTGTTAGCCATGCTTTCTAAGGCCCACTTGACTTCGCTCTCCAGGATGTCTGGCTCAAGGTCAGCAACCACATTATCTGGGTTGTCTGGGACATCCAGGTCTTTCCGGTATAATTCTTCTGTCTATTCTTGCCACCTCTTCTTGATGTCCTGCTTCTGTTGGGTCCCTCCCATTTTTGTCCTTTATCATGTCCATCTTTGCACAAAATGTTCCTATAATACAGTGGTCAGGGAACAGGGGTAAATTACCCGAAGTGGGGTAAAAATGAAAATCCTGGGGGTAATGAGGATGCAACCCTAACCCCCTTCCCTCCTCCTCCTCCTCTGCCTGGATGGGGTGTCCCCGGCTTCCTGATCGCCCCCTTCTCCGGCCCAGCTGCAACCGAGCCACGGTGGATGGCAGCCGGCGATGGGCCCCATCCAGCGGCGTACAGCAGCCAAGGTGGTGGCGGTGGGACCGGCCATGGTGGAGGGTGAGGCCTGGGGTGAGTGGCTGGAGCGCCCCAGCCAGGAGGAGCCTCTTCTTCCAGTGCCCGGAGAGGTGGATCACGGCGGAGGGGGGCGGGCGGCAGCAGCACTCACTCGGCTGCGTGGCTTCCTTCTGCGGTGCCTCAGCTTTAAGGAAAATGGCAAATCTCCCAGTGGTACTGGATGACACTGTCACCCTGCAAACGAGAGAAATGCCACCGTTCTTTTCTCCGCCTATGAAATTTCCTTGAGCACAGCTTTAATGCTTGCAGATCTTAGGATTAAGGAACCGCCCTCACTGTAGCTATACAATTCCCATTGTATCTACTACAGCTTTGCCAAACTGCATAAACATGATTTGCCCACCTTTGTTGCTTCGCAGAAGAGGGGTAGCTCCGACGTATAATTGCCTGGAAGATTCATCGCAGCAAAGTTTCCAGCCTCTTCTTGCCATTTGCCTGCTTGATGGAACAACTTGACTTTCACCAGAAGAGGGCATCCGTTGCCTGGGATTTAAAAAAAAGGAAACAGTGGTGTGGCAGGAAATGGTTCTGTAAAGGCAACTGACATCCAAATAATATGCTAGAAGGTCTAGTGACAATTTTTATTTGATATTTTTTGGATTGCAGCCACTTCCAGGAAGGGTTATCTCATAAATGAGATAATCTTTACGATGCCACCAGAATTTTTGCTCTCCTTTCTGGCAAACTGGGAGTGAAAAATCTAGTTAACAGGCAGTGAGCAAGAAGCGGAGTTTACCCATAGACCTGTATCTGAAACTTTACCAGCTAGGTAATTGAAGAGATTACAGTCTTAAAACACAAATAAAACCAATTCATAGAATCTGGTGCTTTTCTAACTTGTGTCTTTAAAAAAAAAGGAAAATGCAAGTCTGCTAAATAAACTATTGAGAATCTTCAATCATCTTTAAAAAGGGAGTCTGAACTATTTTTGAAAGATTCCAAGGCGTTCTGAAAGTTGTAATCCAAGAACATGCAGCACCAGACTAGATCAGGGCGTTCAGTGCTTTTTTAAACTGATGGTGTTGAAATGTAGAGAGTGCAAAATCTGGCTGATGGAAGGGCACAAAGCAACTCCTTGGTACAGTAGGGCCCCCCATATTCATGGGGGATCGGTTCCAGGCCCCCCCCCGGATGCTAAAAAACACGGATTATAGCAAACACTATTTGAATAGCAAAAGCTATACATAACATGGTCACTGGCTCCCTCTAGTAGCCAGTTCCAGTAACTTCATCTTTAGAAATATGTATTTGTAGGATTTTACTTTTAATATTTTAAATATTTTCACACTGTGGGTAAGTGGATCAGTGGATACTGATACAGATACAGGAGTCGTCCTACTATATTTGCTGCTACAACGGTGCAAATCCATTCACCCCTAGTATATATTTCTCCAGGCAGAAGGAAGGACAAAAAGGGGCTCAGTGCAGAATCAATATGTATGTTGTAGAAGAAACAGCCGTGTTAATCTGGATGCTGTTGTTACGTGCTGTTAAATCACCTCCCACTGAACTGTGATCCTATGAATGAGTGACCTCCAAAATGTCCTATCATTAATGGCTCTGCTCAGCTTTTGCAAACACAAGGCTGTGGTTTCCTTTATGGAGCCAATCCATCTCGCATTTGGTCTTCCTCTTTCCCTGCTGTCTCCCGCATTTCCTAGCATTAACATTTTTCCCAACGGATTCATGCACTGAGACTCTTGACAGTTCTCCTTGCTTCTCCATCTCCTCCTTGCCAATTTTGCATGACCTAAGCTTAAACAATCGGCAGGTGAATATCCAAGTACCGAAACAGGTAGCTATAGCCCTGCCTGAAGCCTCAAATTTGCTCATCCCTGGGTTACAGCATATGCTGAGCATGCAGAAGGATTCCCCATGTTCTGTTTCCAGACTGGGTTGGAGAGGGGAAAACACCTTCCTGAAACCTTGGAGAATTCACCACTAATTTGTATAAGCAATACAGTGGACCCTTGACTTACAGACGGCTCGACTTACAGACTGTTCGAGTTACAGACTTCTCTGGCCACAAAATTTAGGTTCGACTTGCAGCCGGGGAATCGACTTACAGACCAGAAAAAAAAACCAAAATGGATCAAAAATAGATCAAAAACGGCCGGTTATGTGATTAATTGGTTTTCAATGCATTGTAGGTCAATGGAGACTCAACCTACAGATTTTTCGACCTGCAGCCACCGTTCCAGTGCAGATTAGTTCCGTAAGTAGAGGGTCCACTGTACCAAGCTAGTCTACTAGTCCTCTTGGTTTAAGACAAATGTGTCAGTAGAGCAGAGGTGCTCCTTCAGAATGTTTATCGCTCCATTCAGAAGGAATCCGGTAAAACCCTCCTGCTGACTTGACAGGGTAGAGGTTTTCCGGCTTCCTTTCAGACAGATAGACCAAGACGTTGCA